ATTATTATTGTTATTATTATTATTATTATTATTATTATTATTTTATTTATGAGAACAGAGCAGATTATTATTTATTGCCTCAAGAAACAAAAGCGCTATGGTCATCAGTTTTCTGACAAATTTCACATGACAGGTCCTGGAAAAAGATCCCAACAGCGGCTTTGCGAAGGTTCACTTGGGCTTCATCATCAAGACAAAAGATCAGGACCTGGAGAAAGCCGTGGCTCTTTTGAAGGAAGGCATCGAGAGTCGCGAGAAGGGCACACAAGATGGCCGCTTTTTCCTCCATCTGGGAGACTCGTTGCTGCGATTGGGCCGCGAGCCGGAGGTGAGAGAAAGATCTCGTACTGATGTCCCCTCGGAAGTTTGGATTTGGAAGTGGAATGGCTTGCGTTGGTGTGGGAAATATGTCAGCCTTTCACAGATAGAAAGAGCATTGCGAAATGAGTCTTAAGTTTTTTAATTTACAATAATTTATTTTGCAGCGATAAAGCGCCATTTACAGTGAATGCGTCTCTTCCCCCCCTCATCCTGGTGTCATTCCATGTTGCAGTCGAATTAAAATGTTAAAATAAAAATCCTGTATAGTACAGTAGCATCTGTCCAAGACAACTCCCCCCCCCCGTCGAACTTGTTAAGGAGAAAAGTGGACATCTTAGACAGGTGGTTTTCTTGGACAGTATCATTATACGAGAGAAAAAAATGAAAGTGGAAAGTGGTCTTTTGAACAGAGGATTGTCTTGGACGGGTGGTTATTAGAGAAGGTTTGACAAATTTTAAAAAAAAGAAAGTCTTTAGTTTTTGGGGGTTTTTTGGGGGTTTTTTTCAGCTCAGTTCTTGTGTATATTTGTGTCCTATTAGTGGCTAATGTCTTTCTGAGTCACAGAAACATGAGGGTGGGTGGAGACGCCATTGGGAGGTCCTATTTCTTTGTCTGTTCTCAGTGATTTCTATCTTCTGTCTGTCACGCTTTTCGCTGACACAAAATGACTTATTATGATGATGTGCTTTGATATACTCAACAAACAATATTTAAAAAAAATTTAAACCAGTGATGTGCATGGCATTTGGTAAATATGATATCAGATCACTACCTACCCTAGAATATCAAAGTTCCATCTGCTCAGTACCTAGATTTGAGAAATTTGAAGAAAAAAAGTTTGAGTTTCACCTGTCCAGCCTTTTTTATAATGCATTTCTTTGGATATCTTGATAACAACTCTGAATAATCTTTTTGATTTTGATAGAGCAGTTAGCACCTTTTGTTTCTAACCTCATGGTCTTAATAGCTCAAAACGGCCAGAAAAATGTGCCATAGAACTTGTTAATTCTAAGGTAAGCGAAATGTCACATGATTTCACTTTCTAGCCATAACACAATTCCTCACCAGGCACGCAAGATTTACCAAGAAGCTGAGGAGCTGGGTCTGTTCCTGTCGGCCTGGCAGCGGTCACTCTATAACGTGGAGAGCTTGACCGGCCGACCCTGGTGGACACCTGAGCAGACAGGCTACAAGAAGTTCTTCAAGGTGGGTGCACTTTGTTGGTTGGGAGGGGGGGGCAATTTTCGAAAAATAACGTGTGAGGCATCTTGGTGGAATCGGACGCTAGTCAAAATAATGAAATCAGAGAAACAAGCAGTTTTCCTCCAGTTTGACAATTTTTTTCGAAATTTTTTTTTTTTTTTTGCTCAACTCTTTATACGTCCAGTTCTAAACTCATTTTGGTGTGGCCTTTACAGGAAAACATTGATTATAGGCACAAAAAATGTGAAAGTTCTGTTTTTCTGGATCCTCAAGCTTTAGAGGTTATCGAACTTTGGGGCAGCTATTTTCTCAATAATGTTACCTGTGAAACCAGGTGACCCTTACTTCAATCACAAATATCTCATCTTCTCTTCAAAACTGATGGGTATTTCTTTCATCTAAAGCAAGACAATTGAAAAAGGTTTAAGATGATTCTAATAACTCCATATGCCCCAAAATTGACGAGCACCTGATTCCACCTCGTCGTGACACATATAATCTTGTCGCTGTCGTAAGGGATTGTGAAAGTGAGAGGTTGGCAGGTGCTCTGATGTGGTTTGCCTCTTCTTTCCTATCAGACATCTAAAGTCCTAAATTTTTTTACACACATACATAATATATACAGTATAATATGTCTTATGTACGCACATGTCTATTAATTCTTAAGATGTGATATCTTGATTTATGTAGTGCGCATTGAACACTTTTTAGAAAATGGAAATACGCAACATAATTGCTATTTATTATTATTATTAATGTTACTATTGTTATTATTTTTTCATCCTGGTGTCCCCCTCAGATGTTTGGTGGGTAGTTGGCGGGTGCTGTGGTGTGGTTTGCTCCTTCTTTCCTATCGAACACCTATCATCCTTATCTCCCCTCCTTCTTTTTTGTGTTTGTTACTCTCTTGTAAAACCTCTAATCTTCAGCACTTATATGACCTTATTATGTTGCAAGTGCCGTAAAACTCTTTACTAAAAATGATGTTATGCGCACTGGACACTTTTTAGAAAATGGGAATACACAAAATAATTGCTATTTATTATTATTATTAATATTATTATTTTTCTTTCACCCTGTTGTGGCCCTCAGATGCTGGAGGACAACTGGGAGACCATCAGAGACGAGGGTCTGGCCCAGCTGGACAGCAAGACGGGTTCCTTTGTGCCTGAGGATGAGAACCTGCGAGACACGGGTGACTGGAAGCAGTTCACCCTCTACCAGCAAGGTAACTCATGCACGCGCGTAAGGTAACACATGCCCTCGCTCGCTCAAACGTGCATGCATACATTCACTCACACATGTGCGCACGCTCGCACCCATGCACATCATGCAAAGACATATACACACACACACACACACACACACACACCTGTGCACGCGCCCACACACACACACAAACACACACACACGCACACACACACACTCTCACAATCACATACATATAGGTGCTCACATGCTTTCACATGTACTTACACACTTATGATCACTTAGACACCTACGGGCATTCACACATATGCGTACGCCTGCGCATGAGCTTTCGCACCCACACACACACACACGCATGCACACACACACACACACACACTCACACACACACACGCACATTTGCGCACACACAAACACAAACTCAAAAAGACCATGACACACCATTAGCTCAGATCGTATTGGCTGGACTACAAGAATGCTGATAAACCTTGTTCAAATCCCTTACCAGATGTTCCTGAGTTTAGCAATTTAAACAATGTTTTTTAGAGTTGGGGGAGGAGGGAGAAAGTACTGTATGGTTCTCCACGCTCCTGGCCTGTTCTCGTTGGAGATGGATGTCACATTTGGTCCCAACTGTTTAATAACCAAACAATATTGAAAGGAACATTAAGCCTTCCCAGAACCATATCCAGAGCTGGAGATCCTTTGCTGCCGCCTTAAACACCAGATGGCGTAATGGGTAGTTAGTAAGTAAGTAAGAACCATATCGTAGAGTGAGAAAGTAATGATAATAATTCATATCATAATGATAATAAACATCCAGTTCAAAAGCAGTCTCCATGTTGTCTTTACAATCTATATTATTACTCAGTAGACTCTAGAATACTCAAAAACATTCTCGGCTTCCTGGGGAAGCATATAATACATGGAGGCGATTAAGAGCTCAAACACTTAACAGACTGACAAGATCTATTGCCCGAAAAGAAATCAAAGAAAGAACGAAAAAAAATGACTGTTTGCTTAGTATTATTTTTCTGTTTCATTCTTGTAGAGGTTTTGGCTCGTCTTTCTCATCCGCTGATTAACGCTTTGAGCCGTGGCCTTCCAGGTCTCTAGGACCCTCGACATCGTCCTGAGTGTCGGAGGGAAGACTCTGAGATTTACATGACCACTCGCCCAGGCGTGCGTGCGTGTGTTCAGTGAGCGAAAAGGGTAAAGGTCGCTCGCGTGCTGAGGTCTGCGCTCAGACCCGAGGGGGTTACTATTTTTATTTCCTTTTTTTTTTTTTTTTGGCGCTACTGTGGCTTCTTTCAGTTGGAGAGTTCTGAGGTGCTGGACTTTGTGAGAGAAATGTAACTTTATTTGAATGGTCTCACAATCCAGGCTTTAATGCATGTACTCCTGCAAAAAAAAAACCAAAACCCCAACATATCAACCCATCCGTTGGTATCCGCAAATGAGCCATTTCAGTTTGTTTCTTTGTTTTATTATCACAAGCATATCCTCACCAGCATACTCTGGCAAAAAAACATATTCACTCATTCGTTGGTCCTTACAAGAACCGTTTCAGTTTGTTCCATTGCTTTCTCACATCATACCATCACAAAAAGATCTTTATGTAATAGTCTATCCCTTCAAAATGCTTCAAGACCCATACTTCCTCCCGTCTCCTTTCCGAACTGCTTCTACTGATCTGATCATGCCCTCACAAGAACTTTATTAGTCCATTTCTTGATGGTGGGTGGTTGGAGGGTGGTGTGGTGTGGTTTGCTCCTTCTTTCCTATGAAACATCTATCGTCCTGATCTCTCCTTTTTCTTTTTTGTGTATGTTACTCTCTTGTAACACCTCTATTCTTCGGCCCTTATATAACATTATTGTGTTGCAAGTGCCGTAAAACTCTTACTAAAACATCTCTTGGTTGTCTTGTACAAGTCCATCCTTTCATACCCATATACAGCCTGTTCTTTCTTCCCTTTTGTTCAGCCCACCCCTCCATACCCTCCTCCTTCAGCCTTTCCTCGATTCTCTCCTCCTGCACCCTATCCCTTCATCCCTTTGTACAGCCCATTCCTTTATCTCTTTTGTTCGGAAAAAAACCCCAACCACAATTGTACAGCCCATCCCTTTATCCCTTTTGTTCTGGGAAAAAACAACAACTGTAAAGCCCATCCCTTTGTCCCTTTTTTTCTGGAAAAGACCATTGCACTGCCCATCCCTTTATAACTTTTGTTCTGTAAAAACAATTGTGCAGCCCGTCCCTTTATCACTTTTTGTTCTATAAAAATAATAATTGTACGTCCCATCCCTTCATCCCTTCTGTTCTGAATAAACAATTGTACAGCCCATCCTTCCATACCCTCATACAACCCCTCTTCCCCGGATATCCCCAAAAGACCCCTCCCTTCATACCCTCATTTAACCTCCCCCCCTTTCCTTAAAATCCCTCCATTAACCTCATACATCCTCCCCCCCAAATCCGTCCATACCCTTATACAATTATACAACACATTCTCTCACGGCGAAATCCCTTTATATAGTACTTTCCCGTATAATATATTATATATTAACTATCCCTTTGTTTTCTAACAAATCCCCTTCCTTTGTACCCACATATAAACAATTTCAGCCAGTACCTCACAAACACTGTAAGATGGATGCTGCACATAATATACATGTAGAAATATCTCGCTTGCCTTTTTGTCCCTGTCATCACCTTCTTTGTCTATGAAACCTTTCGTTGAGTAATTTGCATCTAGTTAATTGTCTTCACCTTCCATCATCTTCCAAGTTTATGAAATCGTTCATTGAGTAATCAGCATTTAGTCTAGTTAATCATTTTCACCATCCATCATCTTAACCCTATCCGTACGCCCTGGGGTCATTTTGTACCCCCGGGGTTGTATTCCTCACATTTTAGAATACTTCTAGTACGAAGATCTGTTTGAAACTTTCAGTATTTCTCAAAAAATCATTTTGACAGACTGCTATGCAAAGCGTACTGATCGGATTAACGAGTAAATTTCCTCTTTGGAAAGTGGGGTCACAGAGTTCCCCATATCGTATGGATATGATAGTAAAACACGACGTACGGATAGGGTTAAAGTCTATGAAATCTTTCACTGAGTAATCAGCATCTAGTTAATCGTCTTCACCATCCATCATTTTCTGACAAGCATCAGTGTTGGTGCTATGTTTAAACTCTTCGCTAGCTGTGACCCGCAGAAGAAAGGAGTTCCTGAGAGTGGATTTATTTTTTAAACGAGCTTCCTCTTTTGTCTGATGGGATGTTGTATTCCCCACTCTGCCCAGTTTGGCCCTGAAAGGCAGGGCTGAAGCAGCCGGCCTCCTAATTGATCAAAATTGTGTCCGTTTACAAAAAGAATTGATTTCAGCACTTCTGACGCTTGTTTTCGACACCCGACTCACACTCTTGCAACCGTCACTGTTAGTGGAAGAGTTGGGGAATCTTGTCTTTTATGTCACAAAAAATATCTATATCTAACTTTTAGGAAAACGCATGACATGAAGGATGCAAGGAAGCTGTTTTATAATCAAACCCAACAGACCGAAGGGCTAGAACCCAAATGGCCGCTGGATCGGAAAAGTAAAGTAAAGTAAAGTATAATCAGGCCCATTGTTCTCTGCGAAAAAGGGAATCACAGAAATAGTTATACTGTCGAAATGGTTCAAGATGGCCACCCACTGTTGTGGAGAAAAGTGGTTGTCTTAACTCTTTCACCACCAGGGGTTTTTTCCTCACCTGGACCAGGCCCTATCTGTGACCTACTTTCTGATTCTGCCTGCCCTTGGACAACTATTAAGAAACATAAGAAGGAATCAGAACTTTTTTTCTTTTGCTCTAACCACGGGAATCGGTTCCGGAATCGATTCTTCGCCCAGCCCTAATGGGCACCCATCTCACAACAGTCTCCTTGCCATTGCTTGGCGATCTTTATGGACAGACAATTCTCACGTTTCTCTTCCTCTGTGCTCATCAGTAAGTGGGTGGTTGGCAGGTGCTCTGATGTGGTTTGCTCGTACTTTCCTTTTCAACATCTATCGTCCTTATCTGTCCTTCTTTTTTTTTTGTGTTTGTTGCTGTCTTGTGGCACCTCTAATCTTTTGCACTTATACGGCCTAATTGTGTTGTAAGTGCCGTATAAGTCTTACTAAAACAACAAAAACTAAAAGAAGTTCATCAGTAAGATAAGCTGCTTTGTTGACTTTTTTGGTTTTTGTTTGTTTATGCTGTAAAAATGTTATGATCATTGGGGAGAACTTTGCCTTATCTTACTCCATTCCTGTGGCTGCTCAAGCCTGTTTAGTGTTTGACAGAGAAAGAGTCATGTGAGTTTTCATAACATGCACTGAAAATGTTGCACCTATGTATCGATGAGTATGTCCCGTTGGGAGTCATTATCTTCGTCAGGGATCACAGTTTTCCTCAGATCTGCGATTTGCTGCAGTTGCGAGAACTTCTCTAAATCCTCTCTGCGGTTTTAAACGCGCCGACGGTCGTTCCGCCCTGGCCTTATGTCGGGCCGCTGTAGGTCTTGAGTAGCCTGAGATCGGCCCTAAGCTTTATGGTAAGGTTTGGGTTAGGAAAGTAAGTGAAATGTGAGTGTATTTTGATTTATTTTGCATTTTTTAAACTGATGTGGAAAAGGGGGGCGGGGTGTGCACAATATTTACGGAAGTCTATCAGATCGACCGTCAAAGTTTAGGGGTTGGCGAAAAATTTCACTGTGATCCCTGCTTAGTGTTTGACAGAAACGGTTTTGTGAATTTTCATTACATCACTGAAAATGTTGCACCAATATATATATATCCCTTTGGGAATCGTTATCTTAGTGTTTGGCAGAGAAAGAGTATGTGAATTTTTATTATATGTACTGAAAATGTTGCTCCACGGTATGTCCTAGGAATCATTATCTTAGTGTTAAGTGTTTGACAGAGACAGAGTATGTGAATTTTTGTCATTTACGCACTGAAAATTGTTACACCTATGTGTGGACGAGTATGTACCTTTGGAAGTCATTATCTTAGTGTTTGACAGAGATAGAGTATGTGAATTTTCATTGCATGCACTGAAAATATTGCACCATTGTATGGATGAGTATGTGCCTTTAGGAACCATTATCGAAATGTTTGAAAGGTATTGTATTCTCTTGTGAAAGCAGTAATAATAAAGAAGTCAGAAGAGCCTTTTATTTTAAAATGATAAGACCTCTTTTTGTCCCCCTTAAAAAACCAATGTGTGGGTGGTTAGCTGGTGTTCTGTTGTGATTTGCTCCTTCTTTCCTATCAAACAGCTGTGGTCCTTATCTCTCTGTTTTCTTTATCTTTTTTATTTTCATTTGTGTATTAGTCTCTCGTAACATCTTTTAATCTTTGACGCTCATTTATTTGACCTATTACGTGTGGTAAGTGCCATAAAACTCGTACAGAGACTAAAAACTGAATGAAAAAGAAGTTTCTGTGCTTGTTATTGAATTTGTGAAAAAGGAACGAGAGAGAGATACGATCCTTCTCCCCTTTAGTTTGTCAGTGTCAGTGAAGTTTTGGTGCTTTCTTCCACTGTGTCTCAGGGAGGAAAAAGAAGGAGAACTGCGATAAGGCCCCGAAGACTTGCGCTCTGATTGATCAAATGCCTGATGCAAAGGGCTGCAAGCGTGGACAGGTAGGAAAAGATATTGGGGCGGTGGCCTTGGCTGACGGGTGTGTGTGTGTGTGTGTGTGTGTGTTTGTGTGTGTGTATGTGTGTGTGCGCGCTTGTGTGTGTGTGTGTGTGTGGGGAGGGG